AAAGGAGCAGGTGGGTCACAAAACTGCAAAGTTTGGAAACTTCTGTGTAACAGGGCACACTAGGACATCCCCTAAATGGTGATTAAGATGGAAATTTATAAGTTACTTGCATTTGATAAACATTTTAAAGTTCCTGTCCCAAGTTAGACAGTGTTTTGTTTCCAGTCTGTTCATTGGTAGGGTGCCCATTACCATAGATGAGCAAGCTCAAAGACTGCAGGCTTTCAGAAACACATGGGATGTGTCAAGCTGACCCACTTCTTGAAAGCCAGGCGAGGCCTTTGTGAAATGTCCTGTACTTGTTAGAAGAGATGTTATGATGTCAAGAATGTTTAAGTCTCCAATGGCAGGATAATTACTGTTATGGTGTTTGTAGAGGTGGGAGGGCCCTAAGGGAAAGGAGGCCAAAAAGGAGAATCAGGAAGTGAGATGAGTAAGGCTCCAGGAATTGCACACAGATGGGGTTTCATCGTGCTTTTTTCCTTAGCTCACTTGGCTCTTTAGTAAAATAGATGTTTACATATGAGAAACTATTTTTTCTCTGTGCATTTCACACACCTACAAATTCAAATGTTCCACATGCTAATCTTAGTGGCAGAAGTAGATTTTAAATGGATGTTAGGAACTTGAAACTGGCAGGTGAAAACACTGAATTTAATTAAGTTTTAGGTATTGTAGCTTCTCCCAGTCCTACTGCCAATCTTTAGTTTGCCTCTTTCAAATCTGTTCTGGAGGAAACAGATTAGCATGAAATCCTGAATATTTCTGCTGCCCTTGTTAAATAGTAGTATTCTACTCCATAGGACTGCTCTTTATGCTTTGCTGTTCTGAAAACATTAAATATACTAGAAGCCTCTAGGATGTACAGTCACCTCTTTTTATTTTAGAGGTATAAAAACATACACCTACAAAGTAGATCACCTGACCAAATGCAAAATATTTTTCTATTTTTGTTCAGTCACAGTGACCTTGGGGTAGAGTTGCATGACAGACCAATTAAAATATCTCACACAAGGTCATGATTTTTCAGGTGATTATTTTTAAGATTACTTGCTATTATACATGCTGTCATGATTGAAACATATTAGCTGAGTGTTCTGAAGATCGAAGGAAGAGTAACTTCCTGTTCTAGCACATATTTATTATTATGATCAGCAATTGTTGTTGTTTGCCGAACCACACCTATGTTAACCTCTGTCATCAGCAATGTTGTTTAATCATCTTAAAAATGACTGAATCCTATCTACTTGGCCCCTTTATTTAACGTAGCTTATGAACTTAGCTGTATGGGGATTTTATGGAGTGTGATGTATATCTTTGATATATAAAAGCCACAGTATTATCACTGATTTGTTACAGCGACATTGTACCTCCGCACTTGTGTCTTAGTAATAAGGTATGTGATTTTGGTTTCACAGGAGACATTATTAGGTTAAAACGAGCTTTTGTTGGAAATTACATTTCTGTATTTCTGTTACTAATAACTTCACAGACTGAAGTTGAAGTAGACTAAGGGAACTGCTACTTAGGTTTTTTTGGGGTGCTCTGCATTTTCCAGCCTGAATAAAACACGGAGTCAGTTCTCCTTTCTTGGAATCAAAATGCTGAGAAAGACTGATCTAACCTATTCTCCCTCCACAACTGGACCAGCTATCCCATGAGTGTTCCTGACAGGCACTTGTTTATCCTGTTCTCAAAAACCTCCTGAGACGGATATGAAAACAGATTTCTGTTTTGTTTAGACTAGTAATACTGAGAGGCAGTGCTTGATTGGTTTGAAAAAAATACATATTTAATTTGGATATTCTGAAAACTAAACTTTTTTTGCTTTAAAATTTTTCAGCAGTGCTTTTGGAAATGTAAAATTTAAATTTGAATCCAAATTCGTACCATTGCCACCCTAAGTGTTCAAAACTCATGAGTCAGGCCCACCCACAAATGAAATTGGTTTAAAAGCCTATTTTCTTAAAAATAAGACATTTAGAGAGGGTGGGTAGGTGGTTGGTTATTTGCCATCTGTTTTCTGAGCTTTTAGGAGACATTCTTTTCATATTTACAAGCTTTTCACCATAACCATGAGACTTAGAAACTTGTTTTTTTAAAAAAAAAACTGTGATTCTTACTGCAGTCCCTGACTTTGGCAGCTGAAAAAAGTATTGAGGTATTTGCAGTGAAATCATGAAAACCAGCAACTTTGAATTTGACCTGACAGCCTTTTAACATCTTCTAAGTGCTACAGATTTAAAATCTAAAAAATCTAAAGTTTTGTAGAGAAGTAAACGGTTATCTATTTTATGAGGGTCTCCTTATATTTAATATTCTTGGTATTTTATGAGAAAGGTTATGGAAAATGTGGAAAGCAATTATTTTCCATCTCAAAAAGCTGTACTAGCAACTCATTGTATATTGCTAATTGCAGTTCACTTTTCTGCTTCTTAAAGTAACTAATATTTGATAACGTCTGTTAGTAGGTAAACATGCTGTCTGGACTCATAGGCCCTAGTTTGTTAAATCGCATGGTAGAGAGGAATTTATTTTTAAGGATTGTAAATTAAAAACAGCAGGAAGCTAACAGTTCAGTCTTGTCAGGGATTTGTCAACTCGACTAGTTCTTGGTAATTAAAGGATGTTTTTGATAAACAAGTCATTTAACTGTCTGTAGTTAGAAGTTCTAGGATAAATTTGCTTGTCAGAGACTCCTTATTTGTTCTGGTGAATCTGTTGTCATTGACCAAGTAACCAAGCAACTTTGACTAAACTCTGTGAATTCCCACATCTCCTTCACATAGCATCTTTCAGTTAGCAACCCGAATTGTTGAGGGTGCAGTTCTAGCAACTTGCATATTTATTAAAGTGCCATATATTATTTAATATGACAGGTAGCATTTATCCCCAGCTCATAACTAACCCTTACAAAAGTGCAGTCGATAGGAAGCTGATATCAGCCGTCTGTTGTAGAGAAGGTCATCACTTCTCTCTAGCAATAACCTGTAACATGAAGTTGTACTGGAGAATCAGTTCATTAATGAAGGCTACTGTGCAATGCAAATCACATAAAAATAGCTTAGTTAAGTCAGATTTTCCTGTTTTGAGTTAGGACAAGTAAAGTGTTAACCAGCCTGGATTTTTGCATGAGGGTCCATGCTAAAAAAAGGTCCTCTGAGGCTCTGAGGAACCTGAACAGGGAAAGCATTTCTGAAAGCTGTTGCCAGTTTGCAGAAAGGGTAAGTGTAAATGGACCTATTTCATTTCTGCTAATGTAAGGTCACTGGGCCACACAGCCAGTGACTGATGCACCATGGAAGAGTAGCAGAAGCCTGCATGCCCTGTCATTTTTTTTGGAGAAGGCTTGCACTGGTAGCGGATGAGCTGGTGGTTAGCTTTACTGGGAACAACTCTAGTACGCCCAGTAAGATCATTCTGCATCTGTCGTAGAAGCAGCAATCACTTCACCCAGTAGCGTGTTAGGAATCTCACCTAAGCTACTTATCTTGGTTTTGTTAGCAGTTAATGAAGAGAGAAAGGTACCTGCAGGAGATGCTTCCCATTCCGGCACATTTGACAAAAGTAGATGGAGCCACCCATCTCTGTCTGCAGCGAGACTCCTTAATCGAGCCCTTAACATTCTGGAAAAAGTTATATGTGGTCATATAAGCAAAGACTGCCAGGATGCATGTGCTCCCAGAAGGAGAGAATTAAACCTGCAAAACAACCCAAATTAATGTGTTTTGTATTATCGTGGGTGCTTGACTTTGCAACCTTTATAATATTCTTTTAATATTTTTACAGGCATGTGATATTTACTTTAAACTCACCATATGGGAAATTTAAATCTGTGCCCTTTTAGATAGTATAATTTGTGGTTTGTTTGTTTGCTTTTAATAATCTCTTATTTTAGTACTTACTTGGCTCCTAGAGACAGCATATTGTTCAAAGTCTGCTTTTGTTCTCCGGAGCCTCTGTCTGCAGCATAAATTCCTTTATTGGATGCAATTCAGAACAAGGGCCTGGCCCCTGTGGATCACGCAGGAACTGTAAGGTCAAGCAGCCTCCTGACTGCCCGGGTGCTGCTGTGTCACACCTGGTGAACACAAAGCCAGCCTTTTCTGTGCAGCCCAACTGGGCACGCAGGTGGCCCTGCAGGAAGAGCAACAGTGAGTATGGGCTGGCTCTCCATTCCAGTTCCCTGCTTGAGCTTAGCCCATGAGCAAGGAGAGCAGGAGGCAGAGCTGGGAAGACGCTGAAATGTAGAAGAGGTGGGACCAAAAGCCACTGGAGATCCAGTGCAGCTGCACTGACATGTGACTCAATGGGATGTCATCCCTGGCTTATAGGAAGGGGGAGACAGAAGTTGGGTAAGATACACTTGGTAAATTTAGCACTTCATAGCAGAAATAGTCTCTTCACCTCAGTTGCTCACATCTCAATTTTTACCTCCAGCAACTGCTGTATGTAGCATGAGACATTTTTGTCATCTCTGATTCTGTAGATTGCTCTCATTTCTAGGATTACCTTTGATCTTCTGCAGACCTGCTACTTCTTTGCAGGCATTCCCTCTCTGCCCTCCACACTGCAGTCTGTTTTCTGCATTGAGCTTACCTGCTCTATATCCTTTCATATCTTCTAATGCAGAAGTAAAAGTTCCTTCTGGGCAGAAATGCTTATTTGTGTGTTATAATTTACCCACTGTATGGAATCATGCAGTTATATAAAGCAGTAATACTATTAATAGCAGAGAAGACAGCAACTTCTATTTCAAACTTCTAATACAAATTCTCTAACAATTTAAGTGCAAGCGTGCCTCTTGCTTCCTATGTTTTATAACTTGAATGAGGAAGGTTCAGGTTGAACTATGACTTCTGCTTTTTTGTAATACATCTTGCAACAGTCTTACTTTCCATAATTCAAATGGCATAGTCTTCTGTCTAGAAGGAATAATGAGTCACATTGAAAAACGTTAAGACAAGGAAGTATTATAACCAGGTCTACCTACAGAGAATATAGACACAGCCATACAAATCTTTTAAATATTTATTGATCAGGTATATGGTATTGGCTAAAGCAGGACTGATTTGAGCTGAAAGACAAAACCAGTAATTATTTTGGCAACAACGCAGGAAAAGTTTAGAACCCTCTGCTGTAACAAGGAACTAGTCATTCCTAGTTAATGAACAGCTGGTAACAACATATGTGAAAGCAATAATTAAAAACTGGCCAGCAACAGGTGCCAGGTAACGCTTGTCAGAGTTCATGTCTTCTAGCTCTGGCAACCAGGAGTTCTCTACCTCTTTGAAGAAATGAATGCTAACGATGAAATAGTCAGCAATACCTTTTCAAAGGATACTGAAGATGGACATCAATGCTGCCTGAAAGACAACTCTTCTTCCTTTTGCTGTGGATCCTAAAAGCCGGGGAAGGGGAGGAAGGAAAGTTGTGTGCAACTAGAATTAGTTCGGTATTTGAACAAAATCCCGCATAATTTCTGAGTAGTGACCTTTCCGTTTAAATTTCAACTAATAAAACAAGAGATGCTATAGCATTACAATATCTAGCCTTCAACGGTTAGTTTAGAACTGTCAAAGCATGGTAGGAAGGGGCCTGGTAGCTAAAGCTGTATTGAATTTAAAGACCTTGCCAAATTAACAGAGCCTGAAATGGCATTCTGCTTCTTTATCATGAAGTGACATAACATGCTTTTCCATGTCCTCAAGGTCATTGCCACAATATATTCCTTTTGGATCCTCAGAGATCTTGAACATTCAGTACTGTTCCTTTCACAAAGACATACACTAAAAAAAAAATACGACCTCATGCTCCTTCATTGCTGTCAAGAATGTAGCAAAGTGTAATCAAGCTGCATATGGTTTGGCTGCGGTAAAATGTCTGCACCCTGCCTCCACCAGAGGTGCAGCTCTACTAGCAGAAATATCCTTACCAGGTTTCCAGGGCGGGTTAAAATCCTGCTAGGGGAACCTGAGTGCCTGGCAGAAGAAGAGCTTTCCAGACAGCTGGCTCTAGTTTGATTCCTGTATCTAATGTCCTGTGCCTTAAGTGACAGTTGCATTCGTCAGTGTGGTGTGCCGTTCCAGGCCTCAAGTTTTCCTCCTGCAATTGTGCAACAGTGCTTTAATTTTACACAATCAATAAATGCATGGGAAAAAATTTTGAATTTGGCATAGCAAAATGATATCCTTAAAACAAACATTCAAATACTGGGCACTGCAAAGTTTTACTTCTGTTTACTGGGGCTTGGATGATGGACACAGAGTTGACTCTAATGCAGCAAAAATATATATTCATCATACTTTGAATAGCAGCTGCAAAATAGAAGTTCTGGTCCTGATCATACAATCTCACTTGTGTTAATAGGATTTTAAGCTCCCTTGCACTGTCACTGATAGTACAAACTTTACGTGGGTGCATAGCATTTCGCCTGTCATGGCTGTGGCCCTGTATTTGAACAGGAGTGGAGATGTTCGCTATTAAGGGGCATGTGATGCTTGAATTATGCGGTGTGTAAATAAGGAAATAAACAAGAGGTAATAAAGAAAAAGCAAGCCCCAGTAGTAATTTGGATAAGAATTACCTAGCGAAAACATCAGGCTTGTAGTCTGGTTTATTTTGGATTTTTTGGTATATATCTGAACTACTAATGTGAACTGTAGAGATACGATACTGTGGTGATCTTGTACAGTAACCAGTGTACTGTATTTTTGTGTTACGACATGAACGAACCACTCCAGTAGTTCATACTCACTAAGAAAATGTATTTAATACTAATTTTAATTATGCCTTTTTAAAAGACAGTCATACATAAGGGCAAAACAGGAAACAGGATCTTTTAAAATGAACTCATGCATCTTTAGCACAATTATTTGTACCTGTTTAGAATTTCCACTCTCTGATGACATGAAAGCCACTAACAAAACAGATTTAATCTAGCTGTTGAGTATGTTTGAAAGAGGCAGAGGTTACAAGAAACCTCCATAACTTGACAGACTTTTTGTGTAGAGTTCAGTGCACTCTTAGGCAAGGCCTAAAAGCTAGTGTCACAGTGAGGCAGGCCTGCAGTTCTGGCTTTCCTCTCAAATTCAGGCTCTTCCTTCTTACCATGTCGTGGGGCTGTTGGCAGCTCAGCCAGCTCCCCTGCCTGCCTGGGCCAAGGGTGCACCCAGTTGCAGGCATAAGAAAATGGGGTCCAGCTGCATTTGGACCCTCAGAGGCCACATTAAGAAAATAAAATTCAGAGCCAATGACCAAAGTCTGCACTGATCGTACATATTCCAAACAGGTCACAGACACCTAGTTTAAATGCTCACTTCTATTACTGTTGTGTCTTTGACTATTTTAAACAGGCTGGAGAGGAGAACCGTTCAGTGACTGTCTGTTTTCACCTGTTCTATGTCAATAAACACTTTGACAAGTACTGGTCTTTGGGTTTTAAGCTTTAATAAAGAAAATGTGGTACATAATCTACTAGGCAGTTGAAAGTCTAGTTATAAACAGGGAATTCCCACAATACCTAACTGTTAGAGAGCACTTCATCCGCACAACTCCAGGTGCTTTCAAAGGGGAAAGGTTATTAACCCACTCTTACTGCTGGCAAAATGGTGGTAGAGAGGTGCAGTGACTTGCCCAGAAATCACTCAGCCAGCCAGTGTCAGAGCTGTGGATAAATCCCAGAACTAATTCTTTATCCCAGGGCCTGCCTCCAAATAATACAGAATTGTGCAATGGAGTGTATTCTTGGGAAGAGTGGTAGCACGTGAGATGAAAATAGATGTAACAAACCAAAATATTGGAAAGTAATTAGATTTAAGTCAAGAAAATACATGAAAGTATATGAGAGATGAAACATCATCATGTAGTAAAGAAACTTTGCTTTAGCAGGGCATTTATAACTTGCTACGTTTTCTAGAGTAACTAATGTGAGAGCACGTCTTTGTGTCTGCTTTGTATGGTCTAGGATACCAGCAATGACTTGCAGCCCTGAAAGCTGATTTATTTCTTGAAACACACCTTTCAGAAGGAGAATAAATGCACATTTACAGACTGCGAATGTGGCCAATTGTTTTTAACTTCTCTTTGCTAGCTAATGAGTTCTGAATCTCATTTTTCTCAAATTATTCTATGTTCTAATCAATAGAGCATTCAGGTGGAAGTTGTATACTGTAGCAAACATGGCACATAGCCCTCTTGCTCTGCAGATGTCTTGGGGCATCTGCAGTCCAGATGGGTACTTCCTAGGTCGTTGTGTTTAGGCACTAGCATATATGGGCTCTTCAGCTCTCCTTTGATCTGACTAGGCTGCGTGGCTAATCTTTTGTCTTGCTGGCCCATTTCTTGGGGACAGGCTTACTGCCTGTAACCCTTTTGTGGAAAGCCAGCCCACCCCACAGTTCAGCTGATTTAGATACCAGGAAAACTGGTTGACCTACAGATTTCCTGCAAACTTATTTCTTACCTGTGATATTTTGAACACTCTGGACTTCATTCATCCTTTCAGAAAAAGGCAGCAGCAGTCAGTTCCAAAGGAGTCAGCTCCGCTACCCTAGACGGTAAAAGAAACGCACAGATGAAGACAAAATAATTCACATCTACTTTTATTTCTCTATGTCACTTTTTCCTCACTACTTTTCACCAGTCTTTTCCATCAGATTCCCTAGTGAACCCCCTCAGCACCTAGATTACTGCACACGTCTGCAAATCATAGACAGTCCCTGACACTCGGCCTATTTCTTTTATTTTTTTTCTGTTTCTCTTTCAAAAAGCCCATAAGACTTGTCTGTTCAGGCCAATAATACCTTCAAAGTAACCTCATCAGGTGATTGGAATCCCTCAACATGGATTAGCTACCTCCAAACTGAAGGTCAGGCTTAAAAACTAGTTTGTCCTGGGTTGCAGTCATCTAGTTTTTGGATTTTGTATGAACAGATCAGTAAAATTTAATAACACCTGGTCAGGCCTTTGCCAGGAGCCCTTGGAAATTCAGTGCAGTTGGGAGAATACAAGCCAACAGCAGGGTCAGAGTGGAGTTTCCATCGCGCGCGCACACACACACACACACACACAGGTATAAAGATCCCAGCATTAAATGGGGCTCATGAACTGTACTCAGACAGATTCCTCAAATCATCACATGCGTTATGCAGCTAGGACGGAGGCCCAGCTCCCTCCCCGAGCCTCCTTCAAGGTAGCGCGGTCACTAAGGCAAGTCACGAAGTCTTCCAGGGATACACAAACTATGAGAAGTCTCCTGGTTTCCCCTCCCTGTGCTGCAGTAGGGAGACCAGTCCCTATCAGAGGTAGTGAGACAGGCCTGCAGCAAGGCTGCAGCTGCGAGGTTACCTGTGTGGAAGTGGGCTAATTCTTGTCCACATCTTGCCTGGGCAGCAGGCTTCACCCCTGCAAGGAGTGCCAGGGATCCCGCTCCAATGTGCACGTTCCCCAGGACGCCAGCTGAATTATGGATGAGTCAGCCAGAATTTTTCCGCGAGCTTCCTCTGCTGCACAGCTCTCTCATTGCCAGCTGAGCTGTGGTTTAAAACCACTGTCTGGGGCTAATGTTTTCAACATTAAAAAAAGAATAGTCCTTCTGCTTTTCTGATAGAGCACTCTGTTGCTGGGCTTGGGGAATGCCTGACATTTGTGCAGTGTCAGACCCTCAGGTCCACAATGTTTCACTGAATAGCCTAGCATATGTTAGAAATCATTTGGTCCTTTCTGCCTGCTTTGCTCCTCCGTCCCTCCCGCTAGCTGACTGTATTGACAGAGTCAACTAGAAGAGACAACAGTAATGCTAAAACTGATTTGAATTTCAACCAAGATCTACTACCAACTACAGCTATGTACAGAGAACTCACGGAAAACAGTTACCCAAGGATGCAGTGACTGCCTTTGTGTGTGTCTTAAAAGTCATTATTTTAGTCTTTACCTTGATTCAGATTAATTTCTGCTTAGCAAATGTTGATTGTTTTTGCTCTTCTTTGAGCACATAAAATGTGTGTGGTCTTAATTTGTGGTGCTAGCCTCATGGAAAAGAAACAGTCCAGTTCTGGAAATATTTGGAAATACTTGCTATGAGACAAAGCACAAAATCCTGTAACAACAGCATGTGATGGGTCCTATCAGAATGACTGTAGCTTTTGCAAATACTTGTAGTGATAAAGCAGTGCTGATGTCAAACTATATGGCATGAGAGACTAAGCATTAATTCAGGTCTTATTATAATTTTCTATTATTATCTGCATTCGAGTTGCATCTAGAACTCCCAGGCAAGACAGGCTTCAGCTGTGCTAAGCACTATGTCCATAGAAATGGTAGTTTGTGCTTTAAAGCACTTAGCACCCAAACAGACAACATGAAATAAGCAGGTGTGAAGCCAAACAAATGAGAAAAAAAGATCCCTACTGGCTCTTTACCTAGACACAATCAGTAGGCTACTTAGCCTCATCCAGAGAAGATTGAACTATATGCTTATCTTTAGACAGCCTGAAATCCCATTGATTTCAATGGGAGAGAGGCAGAGGAGTAATTTTTCCTGATTACCCACATGACCCTGAATCCAGCCTAAAGATTCCTTCTGAGGAAGAATTGGAAGATGAAAGATGTATGTTTTACAGGCTAACGTGAAGCAGATAGCATAGGAAGGATTACAGAACCACCGTACTTCTGGGAAGGCCACAACTGGTGTGTCTCGGAACTGCCCATACCACCAAGACTCCCAGGTTTGTACAATCCTCCCTCAAGAGCCATTCAAATGCAGATGTCCCAGTCAGCTCTTTTGGGTTCTCTGAGCTCAGCTAGCTGCATTTGGCTCTATTTATGTAGCATTTCATCTCAATAATTCATAGTGTGCATTTCATGACACCTTTGCCATAGTAATTAAAAGGGCTGCTGTGGCTGTTAAGCTGGAGCATGATCCAAGCGCAATACCCTGGCAAAGTTAATTGATCTTTACCCTGAGCTATGCTATCCACCTAATTTATAGCTTTGGCTTCCTGCCATAAGATCTGGCTATGTCTTTGCCTGCAGGATGACAGAGCCCTTTGCAGTCAGGAACCTGCACAACCTAGTACTGCCTGTCTGCCATCAGGTTCCCTCACGGCTAAGAGGGATCCTTTTGTAATAAACTAAGTAGACTGATCATAAGTCTCTTACCATAAATTAGGTTTGTCTAGATATCACATAACTCTTATTGCTCCTTTGTGAAGTCTAAATTGTCCACATCTTTTTTCTCATGCGTGGGCACCAGAACAAGACACACTATTCCAGTAATGGTGCCATAATGTCCCCTCTTTACTCCTACTGAAGGTATTCTATGTCCAAGGACACGTTAGCCTCCTTAGTCACGGCATTGTTCTGGCAGCTCCTGCTCTGCCCGTTGCCCACATGATGAGGTTCGCTCTCTGATTCCTAGAATTCTGTGATTCGCCCAAAGCTGTCTGCACGGCTGCAGCACGGGCTCTCCTGCAAGGGAGAGGAAGCAGGTAGCTTTATGCCACCTTTCATTTTTGTTTCTTGACTACATCAACGTAGCACCCACTTAGGCTGGCCACAGGCGGTGAGGTGCGCAGCAATTTCTACTGACCGCTACTTAAACATTTTTGTAGTCCTATGAAAAACGTGTAATCATGTACAATTAGACACTGAACAAATATCTCTGTTAGCCTGAAATATGTCCACTCTGCTGTGCTGCAAAAGCCATAGCCCAAGAATTCCTGTGGAACACAATGACGGCATAACTTCCTTGAGGGAGAGCACCATTTCTTTAGAGGTATGAATCTCTATAAGTAAACAAAGAAACAGAGCTAAAAGGCTGTAATTAATAGTTGCCCATTTTCCTATCAAAATGAACGTACAATACTATGTTTACAAACCTATGTAACAATACAAGATTTCTAAATGCACATTTACCCATAAAATTTTATTCTACTGTTTAAAGTTTAGACAGAAACAAATCAAAGGGTTGTAGCAGTAGTTGTGTTGTATGTTACAAGTATTGCAGCACTGTGGTGTAAGTCAACAAAATAGAATGTCCTTATTTTGACAGATTAGTTTTTAATCGCCATATCTGAAAGCAAAAGAGTGCTGTTTTCATTTCTTCAGCATTCCATTTTCTAGCTTAGATACATGTTGGATCTAAGTAAAATGATTATGTTTGTGCAGGATATAAATACATTGCAAAACGCATGCAATGCTGACCTGCTCTTAATTTTTCTTGTCTGAGATTACAGAGCCAGAGCCCACAAAATGAAAAAATAACAACAGTTTAAAGACAGTATGTTGCCTCTGGGAACAGGTTGCTGAAATTCAGATTTAGCCGCATGCCAACAGATAAAGCATAAAGGAAACGAAACAGGGAAGAAACATTAAAAAAAAAAAATCAATGCAAGTTCACTGCAAACTAGAGTGGAAAGTGCCAACGTTTTTGTGAGGGAACTTTGCTCTCAATCATGTTTCTGCAAGTTCAAAGGGTAAAAAAGCTCACCTCATTTACACCAGTAAGTCAGAATACAAAATATGGCATAGCTTATATATTGGTATTTTAATAACAGTGCTTGAAAATGAAACATATGTCAGTCTCAATACAGAACAGCATAAATTAATCTCAATTCAGTACCCAGTTTTCTCTGTCCTGTGGTTCTGGTACCAGAGCCAATATAATCAGGAGAAAGAAACACACTTTGGGTCAGTTTATAGCTGTTCCATCGTGCCCCGCTGTGATAATTTGGGGATCGCGTCTATGTCTGATTGTTGTATTCTGATTGAAGATAAGAAATTGCAGAGTTACTGCATGTCGCAGTGGATGCAGAGCTGAACTGCCAGGACTATGTCGCACGCCTTCCAGGGAAGAGACAGCAGAGAGTTGTTAAAACTCAGTTGCTCCCATTCAAAATGGGGGCATCTTTGGAAAGTGGGATAGCTGAGGGTGGAGGGAATCAATCCAGCTGAGTTTGTCTGACAGGGTGGAGTGTGGATTACATGAATTTCCTCAGATGGGAATCATGAAGCAATATTAAGCATAGATTCTTTAGTACTGTGGAGTAGAGTGTGGTGATACACCCAAACTGATCTAACAGCTACCTGACACCAACTGGGGCAGTCCTGCCTCCTCTCTGGCTACCCTTGTGGTGGGATGGCTCAGTCACCTAAACCAGGAAAAATACTATTTGCCTCCTTTGGCAGAGTTAGTTTTCTGCTAGTTTAGGTTCCTGCAATGCTTTCTGTGACATAAGTTGAGCTCCAGTGCCATGGGAAGGGAAGCCTCAGGGGTGCAGAGCTAGGAAGGAGGTGGAGTGGGATTGCCCCTTTTGGCAGCAGGTAATTATTGGATCATTTTAGCTGAGCTGTCTAATCTCCCTGTGGGCCTGACAGACTGGGGGCACACTTGGAGGCACAGAAAGCTTGAGCAGGAGAAGGGAAAAGAGAATCCTCCTTTTGCAGCAGGTTGGTTTAAACTGTGAGAACCAACTCACTTTTTCATGACTTGGAGGAGAGCAGAAGGCTTAAGCCCTCCCCTCATCCCAGCTCGAGAAAGCTCAGAAGACTCAGGCAGGAAAAAACATGTAGATACTGATTATGTTGCACAGATCTGTGTATTCCTTGAGCTGCCTAGGTAGTGAGTGACCATTGCTAGGATTCTTCAAATGCATGCCCCCGATCGCTTCCACTCCTGTACATCCCTGAAGAAGTGCACTGCAAACTCAGTAGGAGTCCGACTTTATAGGAAAGGTCTGTACTTGAGCTAATGGGGAACACGGGGTAAAAGAGGGGCAATATATGTTTTAAGAGCTGACTGGAGCCAAGCTGTAAAAGGTCTCATTTCCACAGAGCGGTAACGGAGGGTTTCCATGCAATAAACTAGGGATAGCGCCAGCAATGTGAGCTGATCAGATTAAACAGAATTTAAGAATGCATGGACCTAATACAGCAGGAGCTAAACATTATAGGCCTGGTAGCAGGCCTATGTGACGCAGTAAGGCCTAGCTCCATCGCTTTTTCATCACCGTTTTTCCTTGGTGAAATATTCAGAGCCAGTCTGAATATTTTGACCCAGTCTACATCTGTATTTCCTGATTGAAATGAAATATAACCTCCCCTTAATAGGATGTGCCTCATTTACTTGAGGGGGAAAAATGATTTGTAGTCGCTGACCTTATTTTTCCACTTATGAAATCATTTATCAGTATGCTAGGCTTTGCCTGCTGAGCTAACCCACATTAATGAACTGAAATGCAAATGGTATTCTTGTCTCTTCTGACCCCAACTTTGAAAACTGATTTTTCTTTCCCTGCTGTTCATCCTTGACAAAAGTGAGACAGCCACAGAAGTCAGCAGGTACATCTGTCTGTCTGTCAAGCGACCTGAATCCTCCATTTCATCACACAGATATTCAGTACAGTGGAGACCAAGAATTTGGTGATGCCATAGGAAATGATAAATGATGCTAGTTAGGCTAATTAGATGGTTCATATTCCTCTACTGAAATCTTTGCTTCCTTTCTTTTAACCCTCTCCTCCTGATTAATTTTTCCTTTCCATCTTGATTGCTTGTCTGAGAACGAGCTTTGATGCTTAAGGATGTATGTACATTCAGTGGTTTTCAGATAATGAAAAGGAAAGTCTCAGAAACCTTCTTCCCTATCCATACAGGCAAGCTTTTTCTCCTTTGACCTTCCCTTTCTACGTGCAAGACTATATAGGCTAATGCCTAAGGAAAGCAAGACTCACACTGTCCTTCCTCCTCCTCCTCTTACACATGCTCTCTCTTAACTCCTCTCTATTTCGTCACTAAGTTTCTCTTATTTCCCCCTTCTACTGATGAGCCTGCACTAACTTTCCTCCAGAATGCACACTCCTATTCCCAATACCCATAACATCTTCCTTATTTCTGTGGCATGGCTCATTTCTCTCCATAACTAATACCCCAACTCAACTGCAGTATGGACTTGTATTGTCCAAGCCTCTTTTCTATTCTGTCTTGCACTTCTGACAGTCTGGTATATACTCTCTTTTCACAACTGAAATTGCTGTCATGATTTTTGCATCCTTAAATTAAGTTGTCTTTGATTTATTTATACCTTCTCTGATCCCTGTCTCTTATTTTTGTCTCTGCCAACTTTGTCTTTCTTCTCAACACCTTCTCTCCTTGGCTTTCACAGCTCCATCCTCACTTTGCCCTTTTGACAGCCAAGGCTTCATTTTGCAGCGTCATTGACCATGGGAATCTAAACAGGCTTTCTCTCTTCTCTGTCTCTCCCTGCGGATCTGTACCCGGTTACGCTGGCAACAGACTGTGTGAATGTTCTGTACGCTTATCCTGATCTCTTAATTCATCCAATGCTACGTTTCAGCCAGTGTGTCTTGTTGGGGAAGCGTCTTTGCCGGTTCAGCTTTACACATGGCTGCTGATGAACTTCTGGTTAGCCCCTCATGTGCTACTCCAACCCTACTACTAGTCTGTTTAGAAACATCGTCCGTCCTTTCGTGCTACCCTGTTGCCTAGAGCGATCAAAGCTAGTCCTACCCTTTCACAAGGCATCCAGACCATGTCTAAGTTTTGCAACCTTTTCGCTCATAAAGTGCCAGCACTCATCTACATCCCCTCCCTTCTGATCTCCCTGATATCAGTAATTTCCCCTTCTCCTCCTGATACAAACCAAGAGTCAAGAAAGTTATTCTTGCCCCATTTTATCATCCTTTTAAATCCTTCCACTGACTCCCTCTTTTACCATGATTCATGTCCAAGTCTTCATTTTCTTCCTTCTTCACAGTCACACCCTCTTCTGTTCACTTTTACTCCTTATCATGCCATGCTTTTCTTCTTCTGCTTCATCAGTGATGCAAATATCAAGCCTTGTGAAATTTGTTGACACTCCTTGTTTCATACTTCTTTTCATTCTGCCTGGAAATCATAAAAAAAACCCACAAATCATAAAACTTGTGCAACTTTTTTTCTCTTTCCTCCCTTTCAGATAAATCTGAACAAAGTAGCTAGAAAACTGCAGTCAACGCCTAATTTGGCACCCTAATAGACGGGAAAAAAATGCCCACTAGTCCTTAAAGAACAATTTGATAAAATTGAAAAAAATATCTTTTTCCTCTGAGGGGATAAAAAGTACAACAAACAAATACACAGAAGTTAATGGCAGTCAAACAATCACAATTACAGGAAAGAATCTATCAACTGCCTTGAGTGGTCTGAAACATATATTAGAATATTTTTAAGGACAGTGTGTGGGAGAGAAAATTATGGTTGCACTTAGAAAGGAGGAAAATGGATGAGCCAGACTTACCAGGCAAACAGCTTTTTTGCCCAGTCCAGCAATTCCATAGTCTGTTTGAATTTCTGCCTAGCACTTTCTAATTTAGGGCTTCATCCTCTGAACTGTGCTGTTGTATGTAGCTCTGTTAATGCCAATACAAACAAAGTAACTTTGCAAGTTTGGAGCCCCAGAGCTCGATAATCTGTAGATGCAGCTCTGTCACCTGTACTAAAATCCGTATGAATGCTCATATTTGCGGGGAATAACCAGTCTCACAAGAACTGTAGTGACATTTCTGCCTCATACTTAAAAACAATGAGTAAGGCTGAATGCAGGTTTGGGTATGCTTGAAGATGAGTTTTCTCTCCTTCAGGTTTTTGAATCAATACCACCTCTAAATTCTGAGCAGAACAAATGAGCTGTAAAATGCAGCAATACAGAACATATCTGTGATCGCACACAGCCTGGATTTGCACCGCGCTTTCTACCAGCGGAGCACAGAGTCTGAATGATGGACATGACAGACAGGACGGAATAAAACAGACCTACGCAAGGAAAGGGGCGCAGTAGAGAAGGCTTGAATTACAGAAATATAATTATGCAGTTATTCAGTTTAGTCACGCATGGAGTTAGGTAGGTTACTTTATGAGTAAGCATACCTACTTGTCCAATGACTAATCAGCTCCTTATAAACAAGGGCTTCTCTCGTGCATGGAGAGCAGCAGGACACCTGAAACAAAAGTTACGCGGGTGAAGGTTTTTCTAGAACTGGCCAGCAGCATTTCTCTTAGCTAGGGGTTTTTTCCTCATCCTGCTTTTACACAGAGAACTGTGTATTGCTGCAGCTACATCAATATAATTAAAGCACCGTGAATTCCAGGCACAGATATCTGTATGAAAGGGACTTAGACCAGTGTACCCCTTCCCACCAGATACTATATCAGCGTAGCAACATCTACAATACACGTATTTTTATAGCCACGACATGCTACGTTTGACGCTGGAAGATCAAACAGAGAAGTGAAACACTGCCTCAGCAGGGGCTGATGGCGTTGCAGTGCCTGCGGGCAGGGGAGGGCTGCGCTCCCGGAGGAGGGGGCTCCCCTGGGCCAGCTGCAGGGAGGGAAGCGAGCGGCGGGGCTGCTGGGACTGGACCCCAGCCAAGACGTGATCTCTCTGTAACTTCCCCAAACAGCTGTGAGAGAAGGGCCAGGGAATCAAGGCCAGCTGTGGGCACTCCCTGGCAGCTGTACAGTCATTTTGGTTGTTAAAAATAATCCTGGTCTCCCCCTCCCTTTGCCATAGGCCAAGACAAAGTGACTCAGTCTCTTCCTAAAGGAGTAAATCTCAAAGCAAAACATAATCTCATTAACACAATGACCGAGGCTACTCATCCATAATTTCTGCAGACTCCTTCCAGATCTCTTTCTCCCTCCAGCGAGCCATGTATTCAGTCCCAGAGTGCTTTACGCTAAATTAGGACTGCTGTCACAGCTAGTCAAGAGACTTCCTCTCCCCAGAGTTTGCATTCTTGGATAAAAATTCCTGTGAACCAGCCCTTTATGCCTCATGCACGAGCCCAAATATTTCCGCTCATGCCATTCAAAGATTCTCACCCCCAGAGCACGTGCTGATTTGTCACTAGGCACGTGCCGTGACAGGGAAGCGGCGTTACTCAAACCCTATGGGGAAGGGCCAGGGAGGCTTTGAAGTACTGCGGTACGCTCAGTGATATATATTAATCGCTTAAACAAACAAATACCTAAAGCAAGTGATTTCAAGCAGTTAAACCTGAGCCCCGGATGATGACTCTTGAAGCCCACTCTTTTTTTTTTTTTTTTTCCCCACCTTCTGGCTTTCTTATGGCAATTTTAGCGTACCTGTGAGCACTAGTAAGAAAAAACCAAAATATAAAATGAAATAAAATAAAGGTCACAAATGATGAGGTAGGAAACAACGTAAACCAGTTTGACTGGACGTGACTGAGCAGACGTTGACAGACCATAGCAGGCTACTGCAAAAGCTAGGAGGCGAACCCCATCCCCTTCGCGCTGCGCTCGGCGAGGCGCCGCTCTTAGCCGAATCCTCTCGGCTCAGCCTCGGACTCGCACGGCCACCTTATCAGGACGCAGGGCTTGTCAGCGGGGGGTGTTTTAGCCTTTTAACGACACATTGGAGGCGTTCGTCTGGAAGCAGATCTGAGCTGCTGGATTGTAAGCGTACCAGTGCGTTAGGTTTGACCCAGTATAAGATGTCTTCCGAGCAGGTAAGCTGATGGCTGGAACTAATTCATTAGCCACCGTACATGTGCAACACAAGCTTCATATTAGCCTCAGAGCACCTAAACGCAAGGCGAACAAGATCAGAAAGGCAGGCTTAAAATTAGGCTTTTCTGTTTCCCCACCAGGCACGCCCAGCTGAATTAAAACACCCAGGTATCAAACTGAAGGAAGTAGGATCAGAAACATATTTGTTATCTTTTCTCCCCCTCCCAAGATACCTTGGAGTAGTGATCCATATGGTGTGCGAAGAACTTGTAAAAAATTCCTTCTACAGTTACAACAGCAGAAGAAATTAGGTCAGCTACTAAAGAAGAGGTTGGATATAATCAAGTACTAGCACCACGGGGACGTAAAAGGTAGTGCCTTATTACGCAGCGTTTTGTCAGCCCCCGCAGTTTATTGCTGTAGGAGGCATTCAAGGCAAATAACGCTAGGACTGGGTTTCCCAAAACGTTGGAAAACTGTTTGATCGTTAATCGCGTTTGCTAGGACTGCGATTGGAGTAATTGCTCTGTGTGTCTCTTCACAAACCCGTTGTCCGTCGGGGGATCGGGAAGGACTCTCCCCCACCCCGACGAAGTGCAGCGCGGCTTATTTGGCTCCAGTCGGAGTTTCCTTTGTGCCTTTTTCTCTGAGCGTCAGACACGCGCCCCGGAAAAAGGCACGCTACTAAAGCCTGGGTACTGAGTGGCCTAGTGGTGGGATGTAATAAAGTAATATCTGTTCCACTGTCATTGTATCTCATTTATTTCTAGGTGACTAGAGTGAATTGTCAAAGTGGTTAGCAGTGGGAGCGTTCAGCTGGGGCTTGGCTGGACTTTCATTAGAGCCGAGCTTCTGAAACGCTATCTCGTGTTTGAAAACACTTCTTTTCTTCGGCGTGGCTAGCAACAACAATAGCGCGTAAGGTCTCACGTGGTGCCAGGGGCTGCGTCATGTATTAACGCTGCCCTCCAGTTTGGCTCTAGCTTCCTTTTTTATTACACAACCGAATGAAAAGGTTCTTGTCTGAAGCTGAAGCAATATTTGAAAATTCTGTTTTAATTACTAGCGCATGCATTTCTGTGACACACATCCCTGCGGAATCGGGGCATTGCTACTTTAATTTAGAAGTACCGATATCGTTGTAACGAGCATAATACAGACCCTAGACTACATAAGATCGAAAGAAGAACATAGCTCCTATTCTCTCTCCCTGCAGATTAAAAGCTCTTTTGGATAGTACAGCCGTCCTTTGAACAGCAGCTGTAAAAGTTTTTTTGTGTGGTTTCTTTTTTTTCATGCCTATTATTTCAACAAGTATGTCTAAAAAGTGTTCAGTTCACAAGAAAACAAAAAAATCCTGTTTTTCCTGTCAGTGCTGCAGCCTCATCCTCTGCTTCAGAAATCCATTGGATTCCTTCCCCCTCACATCACCGTTTACAAGGGCTCTGTAGGATGAATTACGCCTTGTTTACATTGCACAACAATGCTGTCTGCAGGTTCTGCCCTCTGCCTGTACGCACAGCACCGACTTGCATCCAGCTCATTTGCTTTCTCTCTGTTACACTGTTTCTGCAGAACCAAGAGGATTAAAAAAAAAAAAAAAGCAGCAAACATTCAGTGTTGTTATTAAAGCCAGCTCAACTGACTTTAAATAAACGAAGTGATAAACCTATTAAGAAGAAAGATGCAATTTTTACAGTTACTCTTCAGGAGAGCCTCATGCCTTAAGGAAGGAAGAATAACTGAGGAGTTTTATGCCAGAGGCATGCCTGGGAAAGGTAAAGAGGTATGCAAATAGAAATCTAATCTGGCTCTGACGTTCGTGCTCAGCCACAAAGCTATTGTTAGACAAACACGTTGTTCCTGAGCAGCAGAACTAACGAAGCCTAATTTCCTATGGGTTTGTGTCCTTTGTCCCACATCTCTTTCTCCTTCCTCGCAATAATCCCAGCTCTCCTCATGTCTTCTATGACATTGTCACTGCCAAGAGACAACATACTTTGTGACTTGTCCGGAGCTATAAAAATACTCCCTGGCTGTCACTTCATGCGCTGATTGGCCAGCTGACCGTCAAGCGCTATATAATGGCTAAGATCCTCTTGCCTGTTCTTCAGTCAAGGCAGTAATTTGACTCGCTGCCTCCTCTTACCTGCTGCCAAATTTTATGAAATGTTTTACAAAAATAATTATCTCTATCATGTTTATCTCTCTTTCAACTTTGGTCAAAATCTGATTTGCCAGAGGCTTACAAAAATTACTGGGTGCAGGACAAACACTGTGATTGCGTAAGTTTTGTTTCCACAGGAAACTCGATTCAGAAGTTCAACTACTTTTCTTTTCTCTTCTTAAAAAACAGGGTTAATTGGGAAATTCTCCCTCAGTCATTTTCAGCGGCAACAGAGCTTGCCTGCTATCTCATACTGAAAAGCTAATGTATGATTTATTTATTTATTTTTTTTTTTAAACAAAGAGACATGCAAAAGCTTCTATTGCTGCTCCTAACCCCGAGAGCTTTCATGGGGCTAAATATTTCTAATCTCCTACGCAATCGTTATCGCCCCTTTCCAAAGGAAAATACGCTGCCTCCGCTTTGTGCTCTGCTCTTTACGCCCCTCTCCGTTCCCAGCTTCAGCAGAGCTCCCCTGGACTGCATCTACAGGCTGCTTGGACTTTAGACTACATTGAGCAATAAACATCATCTGCTCAGAGTGCTCCCTCTGGCATATTTGCTTGAATCATGACCTTATGCTTTGTTTTTGTTGTTTATGCCAGTTTCTTCAAATACACGCTCCCACTGCCTCCCTACCAAGCTGCCAACGAGGAACCTTCTTTAAAGGGC